GTTTTGAAATTGTTTTTCTAAGAGTAATGGCTATCAAAGAGTAAAGATGTTTGTCAGATAATTTTACAAAGCAACAACAGGTTTTTAAAAATATCCTCTGGGCAAACAATTGCACTGCTTTCTCCCACAGCGCTTTTGGCCAGATGTATTAATATCATATGGGAGCATCTGACCAGCAGAACTGAACAGAAACTTAGGTAACATCTGTGGAGTCTTCACCTAAAAAATAAACTGAAATAAAGACAACTGAAAGCAAAATTTTCACTCTCTTCCCTGAGCTCAGCTTTACAGCTTTGCTGTTGATGATGCTGTGCCCACCAACAGGTTTAGCTGTCTACTTGCCTGGGCACATGGACAGGGGTTTTGGTCCTTGGAGCAGCCCCCTCTGCAGACAGTATCGATTATTCAGGACCTCCCTTTCCTTTTCCGCATCAAAATAAAGCTATAAATACTTCTCTATCTCACTGGCATGTTATGAAAGTTAATGAGTTGATGTCTGCAAAAGACTTTGAAAGTATAAAATGGTGTGGAAGTTATGAGCAGTGTGTTGTGAAGGTCTCCCTTTCCCCAGCTTAAGGCAGAATGAGTTAAAGTTAGCCAAAGGGCATAAGAAAAACAAGAGAGACTTTATAAGTGTACCAGGGGAAAAGGAAATACTGGAGAGAAAATAGACCCATTAGCAAATGAGGAAGGAGATGAAGTTAATTATGATTTTAAAATGGATGAGCAGTGGAGCTGCTTTTTTTTTAAAGAAAAAAATCAGTCTTTAACAAAAATAATAAGGACTGACAATTAGGAAGAAGTGGAAACCTTGTGAAAACAGGGGTTTGATTAAAAAGTGAGGGGGAGAAAACTTGTAAAAGATGAATATATGTAAATGAGCAAATCTAGATGAAACTCTTCTAAAGATCTGTGAGAAACTAATGCATTTTTCCAAATATTTACCCATGGTGGATAAGGGGAAAATCATATCAGAAAAGAAAAAGCAACAGCTACAAAAAAGCTAATGATGTTTGGAAAAATGATGCTAGTGGTTACCTGCCAGTAAGTATTCATCTGTACTAAAAGCAAGGAGCACAACTGGAGTGAGCATGCAAGCATCACGTCTGTTGGGTTATGAAGCCAAGCATCACATCTGTTGGGTTATGAAGCCATGCTACACAAATGAGGTTTCATTACTGAGTTACAAAATACAGTGATGAGAAACCCAATGCAAGCTGGGTCAGATCCAGAGTTACTGCTCTGCCTCTTTACACCAGCAGATCTATTTGCAACATCTGAACTTGAGTAAATCATTTGACAGAAATACCGTGGAAACTTGTGTCTGAGAAAAGAAATCCAAATTGGCTTTGATAGGAAGGGTGTCATTTGGGTTGAGAATGGCAGTATGAGGCCACATAGAAAGTGATCTGAAGACAAAAATTAAAATAGAGTCTGGCTGTAAATATGTTATGATTATTTCAGCATAAAGAATGATTAAGACATAATTATAAAAAGAAAAACAAGTTACTGTGTGAACAGCAGAACTAGGGCACTCTGTTTCCCAATGTGTTTAGGTGCTGAGGTTGGATTCTCTGGTGTCTAATATGTTTCCTCTGTGGCAGCGCCTCTGAGGTGGGGGGAGCTGGCACCTCAGTGGGGGCACTGATAGAGGCACACGTTGTGATATCTGTGATAGTCTTGTGTGTTTGAGCCCTACACAACCTCAAAATGCAACTGGGGTCAAAAAGCCAACCTTTCCAAAAGTTCTGAGGAGAGAACTCAGAGCAAGTGACCACATTTGCCACAACCATTTATTTGGAACTTAGATTTAAAAACCTTGCAAGAGGGAAAATTCTAACTGAAAAATTGGAATGTCATAAATTAATGAAATGCTCTGAATTTTGAGATCCTGTTCATCTTCTTTCTTGTTTCCTAAACACTGTATCTACATGGATGGAGTACATACAGATAATAGCTGTAATGATCTTATTTTCACACCTACTTCATAGCTACCATTTTAGAAGCTTCCCCACAAAAGGACAAAGCATTTTTCCAAGGATCTATTTGTACCATTTTCGTGTAAATGGTTAAGGAAATGAGGAATTCCTATACTGATTATCTGATTATCTGATATATTATTCTTTAAAGCCAGTCTCTCTCTGTTAGCATGTACAACCAGCTATGATCGATAAAATTGCTTCTTGCAGAGAATGATGCATACAGAACTTCAGACAGGTTAAATTTGCCTATAGCAGGGAGGGGATCAAAGCTTACTTTTTATTGATATTAAACCTTCAGCATAAAACTAGATCTGTAGAACCTGCTGAATATGATGTCTGTTTCTCTGTTGCTGTACTGGGGACTGAAGTGAGGACAAGGACACTATTTCTTGTCTGTAATTAAGAAGTATCACTGAGTAACATGGGGCATTCAGTAGTTTCTTATATGAGGGTAGAAGGATACAACTCTTTTTAAGGACACGAGAATAATGTTACAGTGATTACTTGTCATGTCCAATTTCTATTCTCTACTTGTTAATGGCAGAATTTTTAAAAGCTTCTAGCCTTATTGTGTTTCACATTTAATAAAAAAATGTGTCCTATGTGGTTTCACACCAGTAGAGAGGTCACAGCACACATGGACTGAGAAGAAATACCCTTAAACAGCAGGAGCTGTGTAAGTAACCCCTCAAATATGGTTTTGAGAAAAATGACTTAGCAGTTTTCATAGCTGTGAAGCTGGCTCGCAGATGCATGGAAATCTATGTAGAAATATACTTCCTTGTCCACCACCAGGATTACAAAGGCCAGAATGGAAAATATAGAAGAATGGTAAGAAAACACAGCTAGCCTATGTTCTGTAGGAGCAGCAAGGCCCAGAGAACCCAGTTCCCACCTGTAACCAATGTTCTTCCCATAAAGTTAAATTTGGAGTGGCACCTTTACAGTGGGGAGGATTAGGGCACCTAGAGAGCTCTCCTCCCTTCAGGTCACGTATCTGGGGAGCACTCTTACTCTTTCTCCTGCTGCCAGGGTAACGTTGAGCACGAGGGTGTGGATTTACACACCCTGATTCCTTCTGTGTTCCTTAAGTTCCTGGTTCCCCCCTTCCCATGGTTTTCCTTGCAGATTTGCTTCTTTCTTAATAGTGCAACATAGTATGTTGGGCATTCACCAAGAGCCTAAGAAAGTAAGATAGATTTTATCATTTGGGCTGTAGATATCTAATGCCCATTATGGGCTGACTAAATTTAGTAGAGTGGCAATTCACCAGACTACTAAATTTAGTTAGGCCATCCGGTCATATCATTTTACTTAGCTTAATATTGGATATCATAAGATAGAGCCTATCAAACAGTATAGCTCCAGCTTCCCCAGCTGCGGATTATATTATCATTATACCTTTTCAAAACATTCATGCTAACTTTTTTAAAGCCTTGACATTTTTTAGTTTGTATACTTTGTTACAACTTTATAAAGATGGTCAAAATTCATTTGGTTTTCACTGTAAAGATTACTGTTTAAAAAAAAAAAGACGCCACCAATTTCATTTCAAGCAACATCTTTTGACTTTCTCTGTTTAACTTCAGATAGAATAGGGTAAATTTTATAATCAAAGCTAGATAGACAAAGCAGAGTCCAATCTGGAGAGAAATTTTGCAAATGTTTTTCACTGCCTTCATGCATTTCTAGTTGCCATCAAATCTCAGTTCTACTCCAGACAGAAAACAAAACAAAACCAACCAAACAAAACCCAAAACAAAACAACAAACAAACAAATCCAACTTTTTGAGAATCCAGATGACCTGGGCTGTGACAGCAAGAAGGGGTTCTCAGTTCTGAAAATTCATACTTGTCTTGTGCGGAGTAAATGGAAACGAGATTTTAGTAAGATCCCATGCACAACAACTGGAGTTATGGTGATGGGATCAAATATGACTAACAAAATAGCGTGTACAAACTCAACAGCCCTGCTATAATTCTTACATAGTATATGGAAAGAAAATTGCAGTAGCAGTATTCTGGGAGTCCATGGACTTAATCTTTTTTGGTAGGCCTTGAAAAGAAGCCAATGTCTCTCCATCCTGAGTCAGTCATTTCCTATCCAAGTAAAGTGAACTGAGATCATCTAGATTCTGGTCTTCGTTTCTAATGAGCTTTCACAGTAAAACAGGAAATAATAATCTTGAAAGGGGAAAAAATGGTCAAAAATCACTCAGAGAACATTTAAAGGTTTGTTCTGAACAAGCAGGGCTAAGAAAAAGGCCTGAGAAAAGGGTGTCCTGGGATCACTCACAGTTAAAGCACTGATTAATTAAGCAGAGGGTCATTCTTCAGAAAGACTTAAGGGCAGTTTTGGCCCTGGGGCTGTAATTTGGACACTTCTGGAGTTCTAGATACACTGAGCTATTCTGTGCAGGGCTGTGAATATGTGCATTCTTCTGGCTGAACAATGGCATCTTTATTTAAATGGGAGCAACTAAGTAAGTGGCTGTCTCCTAATATGGGTGGTATTTCTTCCTGCTCTGCCTCAATCTCTGCTGCTTTCCCGTGGCCTTATCAGTGCTTTGTAGCACAACTTGCAAAATGAAATCTATTCATACTGCTAAAGCCCTCCCCCTCTTACAGACACAGGAAAAAAACCCCAAACACTTACATATCCTCCAATTCTATGGCAGGGTGTTTACTTTTTTAAATGCAATTCTGCTTATCTGGCGCTGGTTTGGAAATTAATAAAATGGTGCCTGAATTTATTGTTTTGACTATGGGAAGGAAATTAATCCACAACTATTACAAGTGTTTGATCCAAACAAGCAGAGATACAACTACAGTTTCAAAAAACGTCATTCCCTGTTTGTCAGGTATCCTAGTGCTCCTGACATGTCTGATTTATTCCTCCCATGTTTAGCAGTAACACTGTCCAGGTAGATGATGCCCATTCATCTTGCTTTGTGTACGTATTTCTTCAGGGTGGCTTTATTTATTATGCCTTAACTACTGTTTCTTCTTACTCACTAGGTTTAGCTCTGCCAGAGGTTAGAAAAGAGGTTGTTTGTCTGAAGAGACACGGGTGTGGCGAAAATACTCTGTGCCAGCCAAGTGAACCAAAACACTATCTGAATTACAAAGCAGGCTGGAAAATAAAATGTTGCTGTCAGAAGATCTGGACCCGACCTGTGCTGAGAGACTGATAGAAAAGAAGTCGCAGGAGCTGGCCATGTACATCTGGAGGTAGGTCTGGAGAAGGGGGGCTATGTCCCCAAAATCCTCTCAGCAGTTCACAGCAGTGGAGTGAGATTTACAGAATTATTGCATGGGGAAAATGAATGTCAATGTTTATGCAATATTAGTTGGTATTGTTAATAGTTAATTTGGTGAGAGCAGGCTTGCTGGGAAACTGCACTGCAGAAATCTGTGACCTTGCTTATCATGGGGACTGTACTGTGACACCATGTACAGACCAGACCTGTCCCAAAGCCCACTGTAACTAACCAATGGCTGCTGCAGTCACAGGGACTGGGATGGTGCGACAGACATTACTGTTTCCACCAAAGCCGGAGCCCAGGCACCTTTGAGCTGCATGTGCCTCCAGAAATAGTGCTTCCTGAAATACCTCTGAACACTCTAGATCTGTATAAGCACCAAAAAACATTGTACAGAGTGCTGGTTTTGTATTTTGTACAATTGCTATGTAATTAAAATAGACCATACTCAGAGTGGAGAGTGGCTTTGTCTTCCTCTGTCCACCCATGTAAGTGAGCAGCCCCCATCCCTCTTCCAAAAGCTTCTGCTCCACTCCACCACCCTGTGACTGTAAGGCAGACCAGCAGCCAGTGGTGGCAGGGCAGCCTGGCAGCCCTTGGTGGAGGCATGAGTCTTCACAAACTATGTGGCTACCATCTAAAGCTCCACCGAAACACCTAGCAGTCTTTGGGATGGGGGCAAAATGGGAAGGAAAATCACTGCTGTTATTCCTAGATGCTGGCTGTTGGGTCTGTCAGACCTGCTAAGCAGTGTGCGCTGAGGGAGAGGGCACCGAGGGGATGTGTCTCCCCATGCCTGTGTGGGGAAGGAAGCCACGAGCAGAGCCCTGAAGGAATCTGGAGAACAGAAGTTTTGCATTAGCGATGAGCCAGAGTCAGTTACTTGTATTTAAACGGTACTGGGCTCTGGGGAAATTCAGATGCAGACCTGAAATACATGGCTTGGCTGAAGACTGTTGTTGCTGTCACATGTCTGACCTCTGGAAAATAACTTTAATTCAAAAGTTAAATGTGTCCAGCTGACAGTGGTGGAGTATTTGTGTTAAGGAGGAGGTTTTTTCAAAGGCTCAAAATCAGCTTAGTGATGTGCTACAATTGCTTCATTTATGTCCTACAGAAGAACAGAGTGCAGAAGGTGTGGGGGGGCTTTCAGCTGCCTTGAGGCACTCATTGCACTGAAGGGTGTGGTTGTGAGCTCCCACTAAAAGGGCAGCATTTCCAAAGGTGATTCTGAAGACTTATGATCTTTCTGGACACTTTAAATACAATTATTTAAGAAATTATTTCTCCTTGCTTAGTTTCCAAGTAGGCAGTTAGGCTGGGCAACCGCAGCCATAGATCTTGTAACTAGCTTTGATGTAAGAGAGCAACATTGCTGTAATTCTGGAGATATCTTTCTTTTCTGAACTACATTGGCAGCTCATGATACCAGCATGTCAAAATGACACTTACTCTATATTACACAGAGTGTATAAAATCTTGTGTTTACATTTTGTCTCCTTCGCCCTTTTCAATTTTGCTTTATTTTTTTATAGTTTTGTAACTGAAGCCGTACGTATTTGGAAATGTTTTTTTCCATTCCCTGTCTAGCTTTATGGCTTGTTCTGGCAGAGGCATCCTTACAAGATTTGATTTTACAAGAAATATAGGCTAGCACATATGTATGTAATTGTTTCACAGTCAACCAATCTGTCTGGAGCACTGGGGGAAGATACATATTAAAACTTTCTTTCATGCTATTTACCAACTAAATTGCTAGCTCTACAAATGATGCAAAATATTAGAAACTGCAACAATAAGGCTCGAGCTAGTTAGCAAGAAGCATAAAAGTATGGTAGAGCCAAACACTCATCAGTGTAATATTTTCATCAGAAACAGAATGTACTGTAACCAGGGGAGATAAGCATGAGTAGGCAAAACGGACTATGCTTAGAGCCAACAAGCAGCAGCAGCTACAAATCACACACTGCTGAGTGAAACCTGAAAAATCAAAGCCTGGTTCTTCTACCAGGAAGAATCCTTCCTGCTCTGAGTAGGTGTGGGGCAGGAGCAGGTTGTGGGTACTGCAAACGTGTGCCAAAATACATCTGTGCCAACAGCACAGAACAGCTGTGACACTAGGTAGGAGGGGAGGCCCACTGTGCCCAATCTCTGGAGACCTCCACTCGGTCCTTGTGCTGGTAGCAAGTGGCCCTCTGGAAATGGAGTGTTTAAGGAAGTGCCACAGAGCGAGTGGATTGAGAGCAGGGAGCCATCATGGAGGACCTTGGTAGCCCTTTCCACACAAACAGATGTGGGAGGACTTTGGTGTTTCCAAGTAGGGGAGCAGTGAAGAAAGCAGCCAAGAATTGTTGCTGAGGTAGGGCAGCAAGCCTTGTTTAACAGAGGGTGCATTGCAGTGGTATCAGCAATGTGGAGTCAGTGCTGCGAGTGCTGCATACTAGGACTTATTTAAAGAGGCTATTGTAAAAGTCTTCGAGCCAGTTAATTACCAGTTTTTGTTATGTCAGGAACTCCTTGAGTTAAAGCAGAAAGAAACTATTCATGAATATGTTCCAGTTCTGTAGTTTAATGGGACAAAGTGAAAAAAAAAAAAAAAGAAAGAAATAGAGAGAGAAACTGATAAAATGATTTAGTTCATGGAACGATTGAAAACCCTTACAAAAAAAGCTGAAATTACATATTGTACCCCATCTACTCTAGCATAAGCCATTGAAATTGCTGGAGACTTAGTTGGACTAATCGTCCATTGCAGTTATGCATGAGCCTTAGGGAGTGCACAGGGTGCATATGGGCCAAAGCACCAGCCTATTAAAGAGAGAGAAATTGTCCAACAGTATTTTTTAAAAGTAGATATACAGGTATGATAAGCCAAGAGGCTTGGCTTGCATTTAAAAATTATCAAGAGCAAGTGAGGAATTTAATTTCATTTATTCACCAAGTGGACTTGAAGAGGTGTGAAAAAAGGACCAACGTTGGCCAGGCTGGACGGGCTTTGAGCAACCTGGTCTAGTGAAAGATGCCCCTGCCCACTGCAGGCGGATTGGAACTACATGGTGTTTAAGGTCCTTTCCAATCCAAATCATTCTATGATTCCATGAAGTGATGTTAGGCAAGAGAAAACTTTCAATGGAAACCAAAAATATACAGAGGACATTCATGTGGACTCATTCCCTTCCTGCTTACCTCAGTTTTTCCCTCTGTACCTCCCTGCTTGCTGTGAAGTTGTTGATGGATCATAGTTATTGCAAGCAGATCAGGCCTAGAAATTCCATCTGATCAGAATAGAAGTCATATTGCATGCTGCATATTGAATCAAACTGCAGAGATTGGAGTAAATGGCAGATGAGAGCCTGCCTCACACTATCAGTATGCTTTAGACATTTACTTTGCCTCCTTCCACTGTTCAGAACACCCTGAAAATCACCAACACACTTACCGAATTGAGGTTTAAAGGCAACTCGAAACAAATCATAGTTCCTAGCTCTGCCGGCTAGAAGAATGCTATTGCCAAGGGGGTGCTTTCTTCATGTGTCTGAGTACTTCCAAAATGACCTGTCATGTTTATATGTGCCCTGGTTTCTTTTTTTACAAAGAGAGTTTTTTAGGAATTTAGCCTACCTCTTGAGAGAAGAAATGAGGCCAGCATACTACTTCCATCTTCCTAGTTCTTACCATTCCACAACTGAGATCCCAGACCTGCTCAAACATTATGAAGCATCTTGGAGAAAGCTTCTATGATTTTGTGCCTCTAAATGCAATAGTCTCTCAGGGTATGGAGACAGTGCAGAGGATATTGAACACACTTTGTTAGATGTTTTCTCTCTGTATTACTTGTATCTTTTTATCCCTGGTAAACTCCTCTGTACCTGGCTTTTTAGAAGTCCCCCCACAAGTCCTCCATCAAACACCTTAGGTGATGATACCACTGTAAGTAGGGCTGACCACACTGTAGAGGTTGTCAGCCTTTCAATGGTGCTCTCTTCCCAGGGATGATTTTTCCCATTTGGCATGCTGCTCCCCACTTCTCCCTGCTTCTGCTCCCCTCCCCTGCCCAAGGGCTTTGCTCCGGGTGCAAGAGCCCTTCTGCTGCACACTGAACTCCTGGGGTTCAAGACACAAGGCCTTTGCTGTGTTGTTCTTTAAAGTGCTAATTTGGTTTTACTAATATATTTTCAATGGTTGGGATTAGCAGATGTAAGAACATATCAGACCTGTCAGGTTTACAAGTCCACTCGCCACCTCCACCCCCTTACATATATTTTTAAATAGCTAATTAGGAGATAATGCCAGTGGAACAAAATAGTGTCACAAGATAATGATCTCACACCGCTACAGAAATCGTAAGTGGAAATGTTTATTTTCAAAAGGAAGAAACACTGATCATGTGCCTAATCCCATATTCTTAAACAAGTAAAATTCCTGTAGATTTCAGTAGAGCCTGAGGTGACAACATCCTATTACTGTGGTAGTATTTCTGGATACCAAACGGCCGTAAGTGATGCAGTCATTTTCTCCAAATGATACTGGTGCAGTATTGGAACAGATGTTTCCCTTACCTTTATTAGCCTGTTGTATCTTCTAACTTGGAAGACAAATTTTACATGTGCTTCATTGCATCAGCTTAGATGATTTTTTTTTTTTTTAAGATGTGCTTTAGGAAGCAGTGAGCTGTGGGTTGGATGAAGTTATGCTTATTTTTAACTTACTGACAGTTCATAATGGTGATACACAAGTCTGGCTTGCTACTGCAGGCTCCCTTTGGTACACTAAGGATCCTCTCTGTTTAAATCATAGATTGCCCTTTCTCTGTGTTTCTGAATTTTGGAAACAAGGGTTGTCTTAAATTCACCTTTCAGGATAAACCACCTTATCTTTCTGGTGGGGTGAAGGGCTACTCACATAAAGTCCATTAGCTCTTCTGGCATAACTGCTCCTGTTCCCCAGTAATACATTGGAGACAATTTGGGGCAGCTTTACCTCTCCCTCAGACTCATCCTTGTGTTTGTATTCCCATTAGCAGTGCTGGTGGGGGCTGCTTTGTGCAAATCCTTCCCCAGGTCACCTGCCGGGGAGCCTCTCTCTCTGCTACAGAGGCAGCAGTAATGGGATGGCTGCGTGCGCCTTTACTGCCTCCCCCCAGGGAAGCCGCCTTTCTACTGCAGCTCTGGACTCACTTTAGATGCCGGGTTGTCTTACAGACAGGTGAATACTGCAGTGGAAATTGGAGGCAGCTACAGAGCTGCTTTGAGAGAAAAACCTGACAATGGAAGCATTAAGGTTTATCCTGGTCAGAATTAACTTGCATAAGTTGTCAGTGCTTCACCATGGAAGGTGGCCAGCGGTTTTTAGAAATTACTGCTGCTTTCACAATTAATGAAGATTCATCATTCCATTGGATCATATCTAACCTGCTGTAATTGTTCTGATTTTTATTTTTTACCTTCTTCACCAGTTCATGTCTAAATACAAGAAGATGTTTATATTGCATACATTCAGCTTTAATTGGCCCTTAAAAGAAGGTGTTGATTAGAATCTTCTCAACATCAACAGCTCGCTCGCACAACATTCTCTAATTACTGTTTATTAATTTAGTTCAAGTGGCATAGTTGAAAGCCCTGCTCAGATGGGAGAAGTAAATTGTCACTGGTATTGAATATGTAAATTATGTGCCATGTAAGTTTCCATGAAGAATGTTTAAAGTTAAATGTTACGCACATAAAGTCTTCCAGTTTCATCTAACCCAGCCATATGACAGCTTTGCAAAAAGTGTCAGTAAAATTTACCAGCCCTGGCAAAAAAAGTACTTGCCTATCCTTTACTTTTTCTATTAACATAATCATGATGATAATAATAATTTATTTGCCTGTCAAAAAAAAAAAGTAATCATTCATGCTGGCTGGCTGGAGATTTGCAAGGCTGCCAATTGAATTTGAACTATGTGTTACTGTAGTAAAGACATTCAGCAGCCTGGGTTTCTTGCCCTAGTGCAGTAACCCTCCCTTCCCTTTAATTAGCTTATAAAGTCAGAATTTCTTAAACAAAGTACTCATTAAACATTGCCTTGTTACATTACTTTAAAATGCAATTAAAAGTTTTAAGAGTGTTGTGGAGTTTGTGTGCCATTGTCAGTGTCCATGTCACTCACTATCAGTTTCCACCCACTCACATAGATCAGAGGCCTCCTGTTAAATATAGATCACAATTCTTAGTGTTTGTGTATAGACTAGGCAAAAAAACAATATCCTGATGAGGATGACCTAATTGCACCTTATACTTCTAGGAATAAGAGAGGAACAGAGGGGAGGATATTCTGGAGGAAGGAGGAGCCTGGAGTATTCGGTGTCCTTCCACCTCTGCAGTTCTCTCTCTGCGACCCTTTGCGTGGGAGTGGCTGCGTATTGCGGGTGAGTGTGCTGCTTCCAAGTCTTCCCAGACAAAGCTGCATGGGAATACCACACTGTTATTCTATTATGCATCTGAAACAATGAGACCAGACATGGTGTTAAAAGAGAAAGAAAAATATCCAACTCCTGAATGCTGCCTGGGCCTTCACCCAGTCCTCACACTCTCGCTGGCTGCTGTTATCATGAATGGCACTAATCAGTTCCAGGAAATCTCTACAACAAGCATTATGTCACATATGGTTACATCATTCCCTCTAACCTCTAGGGCTTCCTGTTGACATCTTTGGAGCTCTTCTACTACCAACTGGTATTAGAAGAAACGCCAAGTGGCATTTTTATCTATTTCTGTCTGCCAAAAGGAAGCCAAATGTTTCCCTTTTGCAGGTTTCACCTGCTGATTCTCATCTTTGCTCCTTAAAACAGGGAAACCTTAGTGGGCCTGCTCAAGGTCTCACCAGATGTTTGCATAAAGGATGGTGGGAACACGTGAGAGGTTTTTTGAGACAGAAGGGGCTAATGCCTCTGCAGAATTTATTTACTCTTAATGTCTACCAAATTGCTAATCCAGCTTGTCAGTTGTGTAACTTCTGTTATAAATTCCACCCCAGGAGGCTGTTTCTCAGTTTCTTTCTTAATTCTTTCCTATTAGATGCTACTTCTCAGTATGGGCTATGTTTTACCATTGTTGATTTCAAGCATTTTGCTGCTTGGCATTCCCCCCTCCCCTTGCAGGACCATCTCCACAGGTATGTAGGAGCCATTTCTCTCCTGGAACAGACAGTGACACCCCATCAGTTTCTCCTTGCAACCCCCACTTATCCAGGGCTCAGCTGAAAGCAGCAGGGCTCAAAGTCTTTCCAGATCTAACATGCAAATTTTTCCTTCTTGAAACCACTATGCTCCTTGGTTTGGGTCTTTTTTTATTCTTATTATTTGTCTGGTTTATACCTTCCTTTCATTCTAACAGTTTGATTTTTGTGGCTGTTTCTGTGTTTGTTCACTGCTGCAGTAGGTATCAACAACATGATTAAATTCTAGCTCTGACTGTTGCAACATAAGCGCTCTGCCTTCATTATCCACGGTGCCTAAACCTATTTGATCTCTAATAAGTTCACCTGCAAGTGTGTCTCATTTGCATGATGAGGCTAACTGGTGCAGCCTGGGTGCATATTGGTCTGTGATTTCAGTTTCTCTTCGATCAGATGCATCAAACAGAAGGAACAATTAGAATTGCCAGCAACTGTATTTTTTTGTGTTAATCATGCCAGAATACTGGGAGTCCCAGGCAGCCTTATGAGGCTGGAGAAATCCAATGATAAAAGGCATGGGAGAGCTTCTGCTGTCAGATCACATACAAAAGAGCACTGTGCTGGGATAGTTGTTCTGGTTTTGATGGCACACAGTGTTAAGATCACACCCAGTTCCTGACCTGGCTATTCAGTAGCCTCCTTTAGTGAGCTGCACATCCCATTGGCCCCAAGTCTGTGAGGGAGCTGTGACACCCAGCAAGGACCTCTCCCTTGGTCCATCTGGGTCAGAGCTGGAGGTGTCCTTCAGCCTCTCTGAGGGTCTCTGCCTGACTGCACCCAGCTCACATTCAGCCTTGCTGCTCCTGCACTTAGACCTAGTCGACATTTATTTGGCAGTAGTGCCAAGGACTTTACTGCCCAAAGTGTGTAGGGAGAGAAAATGTGTTTTCTTATATCAAGGTTTTAGGAATCTGAACCTACCTTTGTGTTTGAAATGGAAACAGCAAACTTCAAAGCTAAATGTAAGTAGAGAACAGCAGCTCAGTAATTGTGAGATTCATAGCAGTAGTGCTGAAGAAGTGTCAAGTTGCCTATTTCCTTTCTAGATCAAGCTCAGGATAGGCCTGTGGGTTTTTCTGTGTTCAGCATGACTTTAAGAAATGTGATTTGCCCCACTGCAGCATTCCCTTACTTCTCTGATTTCAGAATTCAGCTTCTTACATTGTGTTTTCATTTGAGACATGTTTTAATTGAGCTGAATGACCTCTGTGAAAATTGAAATGTCTCTCATTGATCCGAATGGGTCCTAGACTGAGTTCGCATTTCATACACAAAACCAACTGTTTTCTTTTGCTTGTGGGCTTGCACAGAAACTAAAAAACTAAACCAAGCAGAACCAAACAAAAGAACTCTGAGTATCTCATCAATAGCATTTGCTTTACACACGAACAGTAATTCTTCTCTAGCAAATACTTCCAAGAATTTTTTAAATGTCATTCATACATCAGGTGCCCTAACAGACAATAGTTGTTCCAGAAAAGCTGTTGCTCTCTATTAGGTCAATGATCGGTGAACTAAACATTTTCTACTTAGGCCTTCATATGATAAAAGCCTAAGAGCTTTGAAGGAACCATTACAGACTATTGCCTAGAAGAAATATCCATTTGAAAATTCAGCAATTATGTACTTCTATAATAGCGTGTAAAAGGAGCTCTGGACCCATTATGGGTTATTGAGTAAATAATGTATTTTTAAAAGTGTCTAAGTAATTTATATGATAGCCTGTATTGGCAGCAAAGAGTGATTGTAGACTAAACGTTCTGTCTTTCTTTCTTTTAAAAAATCTCATTTAAATCCCTAAATAGCAATTAAAAAAAGAAATCACTGATGCAGTTTCAGTATTTCTGTAGTAGTCAATAGCTAATGGCTCTGACTTCACTGCATTGAGGCTGCCATTTTGTGCTGAGCCAGTTTCCTCTGGTCTGACTTACTTTTTTTGTCTTGATTGGATAAGACAGGAGACTTCATTATCAAATATAATATACAAGTGTCCAGAGGCCTCCTGGAGGTCAGACTCGTAGTCATCAGACCAACCCATAATCAGGAACAGCCACTAGCCAAAAGAGCCATGAGCTCAGAGAGAGAAGACAGGAAGCTGTCAGTCCTCATTTTGAGGAAAAAATGAGGCTTGGAGAGAAGAAAGATGTTGTCTGAGATCATGCAGGGGACAAAGAACCTCTTTCTCCCAAGATCAAGTTTATTTCCCTTATGTTCGGATTTTCCACAGAGAGACACAGTCTGAGCTCCTCTTTGCTGTGGGTCCTCAGGGCTAACACAAACTGCTCCTGTATCAGGTGACCACAACAGCCTTGCTGCAGACCAGGGCACTCAGCACTTTCCCCTGGTCAACACAGGTGGGAAAATACTGCAGTTCAAAAAGTTTACATTGCAGCAGCAATGTGCTATGAAACAGATGTGCTGGAAAACAAACTTGTTTTCTGCTGTTAAGTATGGAATAAGCTTTTCTTAGTCCTCCCCTATTTATCATACTACTTCCTGCCATAGCAGGGGTAGTTGCCTCTGATAATTTTCTGTGAAAAATTGTAAGAATAAGTAGAAACAATGTTTTTAAAGAAAGACTGGTGTTTGAGCTGCACTGAATTTTGGAGATTATCTTGAGATCCACAAACACCTGTTAGATCAAGCAGCCTTCAGTGCCCCAGGGTCAGTACTGTACTTATGCACTACATGTACACTACAATTTGCAGTGGGCCTGGCTTGAGGGGACAAAAGTAAAACAGTTTTCTGCCTATGGTGATGCTCCACCTTAACTCTTATGGATGGTACTTGCCCTGGCATAAATTTGAGATAAAGTCACTTAATCTGGTGTTTTGGAACCTGCAGGTTCTAACCTGTGTTCTAACTCACTTTGTACATGAAACACCCCAACAGTCAGCAGGAAGCAGGCATCTGTTTTCCATGATTGCCAGGAGTTCTGATTTCCCTTTTTAGAGGCTACATAATGCCTATCCCTGCATTTGCACGTTCAGAGCATATCATGTGCTTCCCATAGCTAGCTGTGCTCTTCAGTCACACCTCGAGAACATCACCTTTATACCTGAATTTGAATACATCTGTTTAATTTCTCATTGTTTAAGAAAAGTGTTTCTGATGAAATGAATGAAAATGTAGCATTTTAGCTCCCCCGGGAGATGACAAGAGATAGGTCCCTGTAGCAAGGCTGATGGCACGTGAGAGTTTATTTTTCATGTGTTTGGAAAGATACACAGAAGAAATACAAGGTACCAAGGAACACATAGTTCATAACACAAAATAAGAGAGGGAGTGACTTAATGTAGAAGGTAGGTAGGTAAGGTAGTAGGGAGAAAGGTAAAGTGAAAAAAAGTGAATGACTCGTAATAGAGACAGAAATAAACAGAGAAGAAACAAGATGAAAAGCAGAAATACATTTAAGTTGTATTTGAGCAAAACATATAATGTCTAAGAAAGCAATTGGTCTCTCTCATGGCTAGACTGTATTTGTCACTTAGGAAAGGACAGTTATCTGTTGGGATAATTGACTGAGTGGTGATAAAGTACCTATCACTGAAGTAATTCTATGACAGAGAAATCAAAAATCTGGGGAATGCTGTTAGGTACTGGATGATCCCCTCCAGCTGTATTTTCTATGAACTCAGCATCTCAAAGTGTATGAGTGGGAACAGTACCTCAGTTGTGTGATTATGGGAAACCTAGTTCTGGCCTGGTCACCTCCTTGTTGAAATTCTCTAAGATCTCAAAGAGTAAATAAGGCACATACTTGGAGATGAAGTCTATGAGGAAAATGAATATATAGGGGGGAAAAAAGAAAAGGAACTGCTCGATCTGCAGACAACATTTTCTTCTGACCTATGGACCCAATGCCACAACCCTTACATACTGAAGAGCCCCATTCTGCAACAAATACATAGTTTGGCTTAGGTACAAAACCAAAGCCCTCACAACTTGAGATAAAAGATCCCAGGCTCTTTCTTCCAAGAACAGAGTTATTAATTGATCCACTGTGCTTCAACTCTAAATAATTCTGTTCTCCATTTTAAGGAAAATTCATCCTAATTTCAGCCAAAGTCATTCTTCATTGCCTTGCCTAACTTCTCTTGAATGGTGTGTGATGAGAGAACACTGGTATGAAGTGGTCTGGGACTATTCCACTGGTGATTATTTCTGTGCAAACCACCAGTTATCATTGCA